ATAAAGCTGGATTTAGTGGGAGTCTTTAGTTCCAGGCACGATGCTGGCGGGGATGTCGACATCACTTAAATAGCTGGATCGAAAGAAGAAACTGTTTGGAGGACAGTTCCAGAGGTCGACCGCTCCGATCGGTCGTAACCGTCGTTTACTCCAAGGAACTTCTGGCGATTGCCGGAGCTAGGATTTTCTCCAACAGGCGATCCGTCCAGACCGTCAGCGATTCTGTTTACCCGTGCCTACCCCCTAACTTAAAAAGAGGCGGGTAAAGAGACTGACTGACCCAGTAGGTACTGACGAGCACCATATTGCATCGTATTCTAAACGCTTTTAGTTTAATTTTACTTAATCTGTTTAAATATTTTAGGAATGTTGCATCATTGGGGAATCACTTTCGAAATATTCATTATTCACAATTTTTTGTCGTAAAATAGGTTTCATGATTTCTTCTTTTTTTGAACATTTCCAGAAAATGCACTCTCAAAATCACTTGACTTCCCTGCGGTCCGTGGATTATACAAGTTTTATTTCATTGCTTGTCTTACTACAGAATTATTTAAGAGAAACTATTGTATTCGTGCGGCAGAAATAGGTGATTTTTCGACCGAAAAACTGCTTGCCGGGCTCTGGTAATGAAAAATTGGATACATCTTGCTCTTATTTGTGGTAAATTACTTCCTCTAAGACGTTGTGTAATCACAATCCACGGTTAGGAGGCCATTGATAGTGATAAATCGTTTGACGGACAAACGTCTGTATGCCTGTCTGTGCTCAACGTTAGCACTTAAACCATTCGGACGACTTTCTCTAAAATTGATATTCCCCGAGCGATTGAACGAACTCAAGGCCCTGCGAGTTTCAGACTGATTTATGATTTTGAGGGTCACTATACAGCCTCAATATTTTCAAAATTTTCTCCAAAATGGCTCCGAATTTTATTATTAAACATTTTTCTTGTATACAGTGGAGAATACTTAAAACATGGCGCAAGTTTAATTGTCGTTGAACTCAAGATATTTTCAATAATTGCAAAAGATCAAATGTTTTGTATTGTCCTTCTAGAACTATAATATTGAAAATAGTGATTTTTTTCGTGAATTAAATATGCTCTTCGAATCTTGAAATAAGGTTAAGTACACTTTTTAGAAAACGTGAGTAGTTTTTGCATAATTTTGCGTGAAAAAAATAGCTCAAAATTTCCTTCTCTAATTTGTCCCTCGTAGCAATATAGATGATACAGATTTTTTTTCGTTCAAAAAATTTGTTCAAAAATATAACTTTAAATATGTTATAATTGTTTAAAACTATTAATTTTAGCGTAATTTCTGCTTGGAGTTAATGCAATTTATTAAAAAATCTCAAAAACGACTCTATTTTTTTTCACGTATATATCAAAAGGCGCTAAAAATTTGCTGTTCTCATTTTCGTTGATCTTTCTTCATTTTCAAAATTGCAAAACTTAGAAATAGTGCGATAAAGTAAGTGCTGGGGTAGGATCACTAGTTTTAAAATTATTTACATATTTAAGTTTAGTGCAATGTATAGCTTTACTCTTGATGTTTAATCATTATTCAAATAGAGATATTACGCAAATACTAATATTTACATTAAACCGATATTTTGTTGAAACATGATAATTCCTTATCATTTTCTTAACACAAATCATTCTGTAAAGAAAGTGGTAAGGTCAATACGTAACAAGAGAATTTGTCACGCTCTGACCAAATCTAAATCAAAATTTCAGAGTTGATGAAAATCAGATGTACGCCGTTTTATTTTGCGAAATTGTTATATTCAAATACAAAGACAAAGAAAAAATATAACCATTTCGGAGAAAATCCTGTTTATGAAATTTTTTTCAATTGTTACTACATTATTCAAAATTATCCTAAAACAACCCATTTTTTCAAATAGTTGTAAATGGCATTATGTAAAGTTTTAATTTTGAATAACGGATTTCATTAAGGATAACACTTCTGTTTTCAGTAATTTCGTAGTTGTAGGAAGACGTCAAAATAATTTCACTTTTCCATCCTTCGAATATTTAGAGGCTTGCAAGAAAATTGGAGCTAATTTAATTATTTTTATAAGAGTACTTTGCTCTATTACAACAACAAAAAATAAAGAAAAAAGTCATCAACTTTGCTAGAAAATATAAGCAATTACCTGGGGGATCCATGTACAGGACTCCCAAAAGTTAAGAGATCAACTTCTAATTCAGGGGATCGTGGCATCAGTTAGATCTGTCGGGGATTATCAATTGTGGTGAAAATCCTGTGTACGGTATAGGCGGTAGATATTCAGTATCAGACGGACGGATCAGACAGATACCTTCGAAAAAACAAACACTTTTTCTGATATCAAGGATTCAGAAAATGTGAATTCTGACTCAAAACTACATATTTAAGAAATCAATTAACTACATATAAAAGTAACAAATATCGACTTCTTCGGCATCAGGTTCTCTGCAAAACGTATTTTTCTGTCGAAAAATCAGCACTTGTTTCTGAAGCATTACATTACTTCTCACTACGAATTATTAAATGTAAAAATATATGAGATTAACTTCATTATTTTTTACATTTGAAACATTCAGCAAATCGTAGAGGTTCACCTCGGAATGTTTCTTTGTCAACAGTACGATTCTGCCATGAACACATTTTTCAAGTTAGTAATTTACCCCTAAATTTGCGGGTTTTCTAGTGATAAATATACATGTTAGGGGAGGGTTATTTCGTTTAAAGGTATTGGTAAGAGGATTTCATACGAAAAGACCCGTGCTTTCGGAAGAATTAAAAACTACTTCTTTTTCTAGAGTATCGGTTGTGATGAAAGAGCATCATTCAAGTCTACATAAAGTAAAAATATAATATAATCGATTAAATTGTCTACTTTCATTGCGTATTTCACTTTATTGATCGCGCAAAAAAAAGAAAAGAAAAGAAATTGGTGAACCCCGTTATTACATTTGTTCGTACCCAAGAACAGTTACCGGTGGCCTCGAGTTGCTCATTGACACGTATTGCAGGATATTGCACGTGCTCGTTGTTAAAAGCGCTAACGTTAGTTTGGTTGCACATGTGCACGAAATATAACGCAATAGTACAGAAAAGCAAAGAACCAAAAACACGTACCGTTGCAGCTTTCATTGAAAATAACTATTGCAAATTATTATCATTAAACCTATTGCGAAAACTACTATTATATATATGTAACGTGCGTTCATCACCAGCAATCCCAGAACTGTAGCGGTAACCGAGTATGAGAGTTTACTATACACTGATAATTAAACATAGCGCAAAGCAATTTAGAACTCTTTATACTCTTGACTTAAATGCAGTTGCGGTACTTCCTGCCGAGATTATTACGTAGGCCACGTGTTCTACCGGTAGCCTTACCGGTACAAGCTGCACGCGTCTCACATTGTTTCCTGGGTCGGGGAAGGTGGTGTACGAATAAGACAGGGACAGACAGCGTTCTGGTTTTACCTAGCAAGAAGCTGGCGTAACAACCTATGCCCCGAACATGAATGTATTCTCTCTTGAAGGGTAAAAGAAAAGAAACCGAATGAATATAAGTTATATGTAATACAGTGCTACCATTATGCTTCGCGGTGAATCTTCGTTGGATTTTATGATTAGAGCAAGAACGTTATTTAGCTATAAAGCATTAATTTTCTCAAAAATAGGCACGCAAAAATAGTTATTTTTATTAAAATAAGCATGAAAAAAGGCATTTATTCTTACTAAAAGAGACGCAAAAAACTTAAATTAAGTCAAGGCAAATGAGCACTAAAAACTATATGAATACATTCAAAATAATTTCAAAATGAGCAAGAAAACTCGATTATTTAAGTCACCGGCTCTCATCAGCCATATTGTGCCCTTATCTCAAACGTTCTCCCTTTTATGAATTTTCAGGCAACTAGACTTCATCCACAAATGAGTTTATTTATTCTATTTCCCAAAGCAATTCAACCTCGCTAATGTTGCAACTTGTATTTCGCGATAAGCATCTGAATACTACCAAAATGTCATTTACAGCTCCAATTGTAAAGGCACCTTTAATTTTCTCAATCAATTTGTAAACAAGAAAATAAACTTTCTTTTAAATATTATCGTGATCTGATTAGTCGACACCCAACTGATCAGCAAACGATACTTCGCGAAAACGAAAATTTAATAATAATAATAATAATAATAATAATAATAATAATAATAATAATAATAATAAATTTAAATAATGAAGTAAATAAAATGTAATTATTTTCGATGTTCGTCAATGGGCTTCCTTTTGAACTTGTATGGGATGTATTATCGTCTTGTCTCCAGCAAAATCATGAATTACCTGCCCGAATTGGCGAACCATGACAACACCGTACCGACATCACAGCCATCACCACCGCCACCGCCACCGTCACTAACGTCCACTACCACCACCTTCTCCATCCCGATCTCCGCCCCCTCCCGCGTCGCGTCTGCCGCCGCCGCAGCCTCCGTCATCACGGTCAACGCCACCTCCATCTCCGTCACCGCCTCCTCCGCCACCGCCGCGCCGCCTCCACAGTCGCATCGCTCACGCCGCGCCACCGCCGCCGCCGCCGGGAGAAAGCGAGCGCTTCGCTGCGCCCGCGCAAACATTGCGTAGCCGCTAATGGGCGTCCGACGTCCCCCGCCGGCCCCGGGCCACCTGTTCCGCTCGGCGACGCGCGCCGTCAATGGGCAGTTGCCGCACGCGCGCCGTCAGTGATAGCCGCGCAGTGATACACGCGTGCGCGTTGCACTCGCGCCCCTGGGCGCCGCCGGGAGCGGATCGGGAGCGCAGCCTTCGAGGGGACGGCCGGCGCCCGGTGGCCTCCGTCGTCCTAAAGCTTATCAAGTCGCTACTGACATTCGACTGTGTCGACGAGTTCGTGCTGTTCTCTCGGAGATCCTGCATCGTTACTTCTGTTTTAGTGGATTCTCAAAACGATAAAAATACTCCCAAGATCGGTTAGCTTAAATGTCTTATATTTTCGACACTATTATTATTATTGTTATTATTATTATTATTATTATTATTATTATTATTATTATTATTATTATTATTATTACAATGTCTATTATTTAAGGGAATTTGTCTTCTTTCCGGTAGCTACTTCTATGGACTCGGGTTCTACCAAGGTCATGGAATTCCCAGAGGCACCTACGCAGAATGCGACCTGTCGCCGGTAGCACGGTCCTTTACAGTTAGTACGCTAGACACGCATGAAGCGGGCAGGGCATGTAGTATTGCTCAATTCAGGTGCTCATCGAGGAGCGGCGAGCGTCTAGCGTTTAGTGAGCCCAGAAATTCGCCCGCGAGAAGCATTGTGCCATGGAGGGCGAAAGGACTATGGGAAGGGGCACTGCGGGGTGATTGAACATGTACAAAGATTGACGAAAATAAGCTCCAGAGCTCATCAGGGGCAGCGCGTGGTATCTTTCGCCTTACGGCCTTCGTGCGCAAACATGGAAGACTGTGCACGAATCGAAGTCGAAAGCAACATATTAGGTTAAGTGATTTGAAAACCATAGAGAGTAATGTATATTTTCTTGCAAATCCTTTTGTTATGCACATCACACAGCTCACAACTACAATGTGATGTTGCATATTTACAGACTTTTCCTCTGGAATTTTTTAAAATATTTGTTTTTTTACATTAAAAAATAAACTAAAAACCATTTCCTCTTCCTCTATTCCTGCCTCTTACTCTCATCTCACAACAGTATGGATTGAGATGAGGCCCTCAAACTGGATTTGCTCTTCATGCGGATTATCTCATTCTAAGCTTGAACCACGATCCTTGGGCAGTAATTTATTTTATTTCATTTCACTCAGTGTACATGTCATTATTTTTATTATATTGATGTATCTAGACTATTCGTGCCCCCCCTTCTATTAAAACTGCATTCAGTTCTTGGTTGTTGTAGACCCCATTGAAGATGGATGAAAGTATTCCAGAAACTTAGCTACCAAACTTTTTTTTTAATATAAAAATAATTGTTCAAACTTTATTTCGCGTTTTTTAAAACCTTCTTACGGAGTTAGACTATTTCCTTAAAAATAGTAATGCTTAGGTAACAATTGAAAAAATGTATGTTCTTTGATTTAAACATTAGCTGATCGTTTATATTATTGAATAAATTACAATATAAGAAACCAACACACCTGTGGCGCAGGTTTCTGGGTGTAGTTCCAATAGTCCCGATTACTTTTGGAGCAACCGTGACTCTTCGTTTGAAGAGTCTTTTAATCACTATCCGGAGATCATTTCGTAATTTTCGTATCCGGAGATCATTTCGTATTCGATATCCTTCTGAACCACGCTGTAATTTGCTGTTATTTATTATATTAATTTTATTACACATTCTTTTGAGTTTCATTAAGGCCATTAGCGGCAACAAAACTTTTATATTGATGATAACATATTCTAGATATTTATACTTACTTTTCATTACATTTTTCTTTCAGTGGATGACAAGCAGAGTCTTAACAATGTACAATACATTAATTTAAAAACATATGTAAATAAAATTATTATTATTATTAATATCGTTTTTCAAAATTTCTCGCTCGTCCGCAGTCTTCAGATACAATTCAAGGACAGAACGTCATCACATATGGTGAGACAGATGATGAGAAGTGCTTGCTCCAGTGCACTCAGGTTCCTCTTCAGTGTCTAAGAGAGAGAACTTTACGCACAATATTGGTGATTGCCAGCAACACCGCCTTCTGCATGGCACTGAAGTGCCATTCATTTACATGGAGTTTCTCTTTCACAATCATCCAATCTTCAGCAACAAGCCCATTAGTTGAAATAACAACAGGTACAATATCTACCTCTATTAATTTGTATAGGTTTTTCAGTTCAATTGAGAGTAGCTGGCATATGAGACTGCGATATCGATTATTATAGTCCTGCCAGTAATTTTGTCGAATACGACAATATCAGACTTATTTGCTTTCAATATTTTATCTGTAACAATGGCAGTATCTCACAAGATTTTTGTTCTCTTAGACAGGACTTGCTCCGGTACATATTTGTAATAAGGCAAGCTTTCCTTCATCAGGTCCGATCTTTTGGCAAGGGTTGGTGGATGATTTTGGACATATTATTATGACGTTGCACATCATCTGTTTGTGCCAACTGAAAACATCCACTGCAGATCTGTTGAATAGATTCGGTGGCCTTCTTACACAGGCGACACTTGTCACTGATATTCTCTTTGATGATATATCGCCTGTACGTATTAGTAATTACTACCTGATTTTCAATGGCCAACACAATTCCTTCCGTCTCGCCAAAAAGCCCAGCGGTTCTCAACCATTTAGTCGATCTCAACATGTCCATGGAGTTACTTCGAAGGGCTGCAGCCAATCTGCCATGGAATTCCTTTGCTCTCCACTGCTCAATTCGGCTCTCAGATTTCGAAAAACGTGGATTGTGATTTTCTTGGAGCAGCTTAAGAGGTATGGCCGTGATCTTGTGCAGAGATGGCCGTTATGGATTCGTTGTTAATGAAAGCATTTCTGAGCGGTTTTTTTTTGCTGGTGGCACATAAATTCAAGGATTAACAGTCCAAGTGCTCCATGTCAAAGATATAGCCTTTCAGTGAAACTTCGAGGATAATGCATCCGATATTTTGATAGAAGTGTTTTAACTTTTCTATGGAAAGCTTGCAAAGCTGTCTCAGGCCACTTGGCAATTCTAAATGTATATGATGCTGCTGTGAGAGCCCAGGTGTTAATTCCTGTAAATTTGTTTCTCGAATAAATACAGAACTTGCAGATTTTCGTAACACGAGAAAGAACCTTTCCTTCCAGATGTTTTCTTATTTTCTCATCTGCAGTTTCTAGGAGCTGCTATACTTATATTCATCGCACCGAGCATCGCATTATTATTAATTATAATTACTACTATTATTATATAGGTTTAAGCGTTTCAGCATTTTGATTCGAATGTGCGTATTTCTATTCTCTCAATGAGCTTAGGTTCGTTCGTCGTTCTGGTGTTGTGACGCGAAGGCTCTCACGAACCTCGAAGATGGGGATAAGGAATTATACATCACCAGGTCGACATTTTAATAAAAACTTTTTTTACGTATAATATCCCAAACATATTTTCGCAAAAGCACTTTATATAAGGTCATCTGAAAAAAATCTTAAAATCAATAGTGCCTTCACTTCACACTGGTCGAAAAATTTAACTTTTTGTCTGTTAAATGGCTGTTTCTTGTGGAAAATGGTGTTCTAATTTCAAATTTGTAAAGCATTTGAAATGGGCTATTCAAAATGGGCAAGAACTTTTTGTAATAGGTAGTTAAAAAGTAGTCAGTGTTATTAAGTATTGGTGTTGTTTTACTTTTCTTACAGATAATAAACTCACCCGAAATGTAATTCTGAACGATTTCTTACTCTATGTCAGTTGAATTTCTCCTTTTTTTAGTGCCCAGCAATAATCTGCAAGCATATTTTGATTACATTTTCCCTTATAAAATGTGTCCATACTTGCAATGTCTTGGGGGAATCACTCACCGTGTCGCTCACAGCACCGACATTTTCAGGAAAGAAGTCTAAGTGTGAATACAGAAAATGTATATTAAGGAACATGTTACATCTCAGAGCTTTAGAATTGAGAAGGAGTTCCGACACTATTTCTTCCTAGGTCTCTTCTTTTCTGATACCAAGGAACTCCATAACGACCTTTTGAAGCGGCATTCATGCAACCTTTTCAATGCTATTAAACTTGCAAGAAAATCATTATCCCTCATGAGCTTCTTCATTTTTGATCCTACAAATATACCCATCTTTATTTTCGCTCCAATGATTCTTGGGAATTTTCTTACAAAAGGGAAACATGGTCCACTTTTATTCTTCACAAATGTTTCATGAATTTGAGTTTGGAGTGTAAAATAGGAAGATAGGCGTGCCAGCATTACAAGGGGTTGCAAATTTATATTTTCTGATCAGGAATCAGATGTAGTTGAGGCCCGTGCTTCTTCACAAAAATATTTTGCAATCACCGCTATCCCACTCGCGTAGAAAACTGCAAAATTTAGAATATCTTTGGAGATCTAACAAAAGTGCGATAACTTTCAAATCCATCAGTATAGTACATTCCATGAATACCGCTGCAATTATATCTGCGATAATAAAAGTTTCATGATACCCATACACGTCTTTCATATGGGCTGCATAGGCAACAAGAATAGCTTGTTTCTCATTCCTGAAGATAGTTGAAGGGAGATTGCGATATTGAACTAGTCTTCTTGGTCGCGCTTGTGATTCCAGCAACTAATGTAGAAATATCAGCCAGTGGGGTGGCACTTTGGTTCCCTCCTTGACATGGGAATTACAAATGGCAGATGTCTCGAATTTTTATTAAGCCAACCACTAAGTAATGTTACATAAGGCGCACAGAAAATATGAGGGGCCCATCATCCTGATCACCGATTTGACACCCGACATACAACTTATATGCTTTTCTTCTTAAGGACGTAATAGTCCACCTTTAGCTCTTCAAAGTTACTTCATCACACATAAAGAAACTGTTTGGATGGTTTACTCACTGTAGCGGTATTGCAAGGAATCTCTTTGTACAAAAATTATCACTAGAACA